CTCAGTGTCGTGCTGGTCAGAGTAATTTGGATTACAGAAACCCAGATATAATATTAAATGCGGTCATCTGTATGGCAACTCTTACTTGTGAATTATGTATTAGATACATTCTACAGTGATATATTCTATTAAGGTTAAAGTTAATTGACAAAAACCAACAATAATCATTGTTGTGATCTGGGAACACTAGATATTGGTGTTACGTACCGGTGACTCCGTGGTATTTGGAAAAGTTTTCATAAGCCATCATAATCTTCTAATAACAAGTTACTAAAAGATACCTATCAAATAGGTAGGTACGAAAGATTAGGGTTCGTGAGCGATAAGTGAGTTTTGCCTGTTTAAGATTCCTTATAAACTAGTTGAAGGGGTAACTTATCGAGTTCGTCATTTTCGTGTTGAAATATTTTAGTATAGCGGCAAATTTCGAGTGTGCACAAGTTTCGGTGTAAAACTGCATTAAAACGGCATTCTGATCGTACGCCGCGGAGAAGCATGTCAGTGAACATTTGGCACTTTTGTGTTGCTTAAGTTTTCTGTATGAGTATTCTGTATGATAAAAGTTGAAGCATATTGTGTTCTTTCAAACAACCCAATTTCCAATTTAAGATCCTATAAAGAATATTGAGAGTAACTTATGACTAAAAACTACATTCAGTATATCTTGTAAAAGTAAGAAGAAAGGCTTAGTAGTATTGGGAATAAAGTTATAGATATTGAGACAGAGGAAACAACAGTAAGATCTGCAAAATTGATACAAAAAGAACAAAGTGTTAGAACTGTGTTGTTATTTATTTATTTAAATTTGAATACACTTTAGTGTCAACAGTCTTGGCCGAGGTGGGGCGTGGGCAAAAAGCCCTCTTTTCTTTCAAAACTTTGTACTGTCAAGAAGTTCTAAGACCCGGCTTAAAGATTTAAATTACTAATATAACTACCTCCAATTGACAAATATACTGTCACGTTGACTATTAAAAATTTAAGGCCAAGTCTCGTAATATAATTCGGGCAAAAGTCAGTTTCGATCTACCCTCGATCTCACAAATAGCTTGCAGAAGACTTCAATATATAGTTTGATGTTTTTTTTTGTGAATATAGTAGATTGTTGATTAAGTTTGTCTCTCGATGAAAATGTATGTTTCGTTTATTAAATACACCATTTGAATAGTTATCATTACTTATAAGGGCCTCCTTGCAGCATAGTGTGGTAGATAGTTTCAGTAATGGCCAGTCGCATGCACTCTAACATGTTGCTAATATTTTAAATGCGAATAGGAGTTTGTAATGATTTCACACTAGAACTACTTCACTGATCATCACGAAATTTTCATAAACATTCTCGGCACCCAATGCCCCGAGTATTTCTACGAGTATGTTAAAAGCTAGTATCGTATATGTATAAATCCGATATAAATTTATCGTCAGAAGGGCTGTTTGTGTAAGTAATTAATGTTAAAAAATATTATCTCTATAAGTCGCCTATTTCATGATAATTGTAATAAACTGTATTCTTTAGTCCTTAGTTTTACATCTGGGGGGTGGTATTTATTCTTCAAAATTAAATAAGACTAAACACGGATAGTATACTCTCGCAAATAAAAAAATATTTTTTCTTCCTCCTCTTTTTCTGAAGACGATTAAAGTTCAAAAGCATTTTCAAGATTTATTTAAAAAACCTAAGAATTATTAGTTACCCCCTTATTGTTTAGGTATCATTATTTATTTAGGAAGAAAAGGCGATCGCATGCAACAAATTCATTTAGTATTGGTGAAGCGCAATTTTCGTGCTAGGCTGTTGGCGATTGTTGTGCGACAGAGTTCTATGATTTATGTGTACCGAGCCTACAAGACGCCGGGACACGCGAACACTTGTGATCAATTGTCTCTTTTTAGCTTTCAAACAAAAATATTTGGTGTTCGTCGTCGTTTCAGTCGACAAACGGATGACAGCGACGAATAAGTATCATCGAGAAGTCATATTTGCTATATAGCGGGTAGAAATGCAATAAACTTACTTAAGTTTTTATCCGACTTGAAAAAAAAGGTGAAAGTTTCTATTCTGTTTTTTTTTTACGTTTGTTACCTCAAGACTATCATTTGTAATTTGGAAAATTCTTTTTTATTTGGGTGTATACTTCCCATTTTGTCCCGTTCGAATTTAAAGAAACGTATCACCCCAAGGGCGGAAACTGAAGAAATGAAGAATACAGTTTATTATAATTCATCATGATGTAGTTGAGCATTGAAGTGACGACATTATTTCAAAAGTTAGCTATTTTAATACAAACACTATCTCTTGAGATTTTAATTTGGTTTAATTTACTAGGTCGTTCAAGATATCATATTTACCACTTTATTAGAAGCGTTCCAAATTGAAATAATATCCTGGGACATAGCATATCGCTATTTAGATCTAAAGTAAACCACGAGCTTGAACTTATCGAGTTCTAGAACACAAACACAACAACCAATCCTAGAGGAAAAGATGTGATTATTAAAAAATATTATCATCATCACTATCATTAAATGTAATCATTTATTTTATTACATATGTATTTATATATTTCATTGTAGTCAGTCATCATTAAATCTTTTGCCTGCCACATAATAATAATAATATTTTAATATATTTGGACATCTGACATCAACGCCATCTAGTTTCAAACTAAGGAGAGCTTGTACTATGAAAGCTAGAATACTTATATCCTTTTTTTTGTAAATACATACATATTATACATAGAAAACACCGAAACTAAGAAACAAATATTTGCAGATCATACAAACATTTGGTTCGATCCGGGTATCGACCTCAGCACAGCAGTCGCATACGCTACCACTGCACCACCGAGGCAGTCAATTTCTGTACTATCTATATAAACACATCTTTAAACTTGTGTAAAAACGGTTACGGCTATACAATGAAGTTATAACAAAAAAAGACGTTTAAAAGCTGCCCGCCATACGATATCTAGTCGCAACAAATAAAATACTATTACTGTAATAAAAATACTATTTCACCTTTAACAGCTTGATTACAATATCTATACAGATAAATAAAATTAAAGTGTCTGTTTGTAATGTCAAAATAATAGGTTTTTTCATGCTCACATGATTATTTGCATGATACCGATGCCTAAAAGCCAGTTTAAATATTTTTGTCTGTCGGTCTGTTTGTTCCGGATAATCTTTAAAACGGGTGGACCGATTTTGATAATACCTTACTACTAGGTAGCTGTCTATATAAGGAGTAACTTAGTCTATTTTTCCTCTCAGAAAAACTGAACTAAAAACAAATCCCATAGCCCTATTGCTCAATCAGTAGAGCATTGAGACTTTAATGTTAATTCTCGACTGCTTAACTAATATCAAATTGAGAAGTGGGGAACAAGCACGCGCCAACATGTAAATAAATACGTTGCAAACTCTTGCCGCAAGCTTCCTTTGATCAGAGGGCCTAGTGTGAGTTTATTTTACATCAACTCACTCGTCACGGTGACCGCATTCGGCGTTGCGATTGGCCCGCGCTAAACTCTTCACCAATCACAACGCCAAACGCGTTCGCTGTCGAGAGCGAGTAGAAGTGAAATAAACTTACACTAAGCCCTCGTCATCATCATCATCATCAACAGCCTTTAATAGTAGACTGCTGGACATAGGCCTCTCCTTAGAAAGGAGGTTAACTAAGTCCTCAGTGCGGGCCAATCGTAGCGCCGAACGCGGTCGCCGATCGAGTAGATGTGAAATAAACTTCCACTCGGCCCTCAGACGACCCGTCTGGTCATTTGCTCCCCTATACTGTACAAAAAAACTATCTGCGTTATGCTGATTAATGATCGAACACATCATGAAGTAGTTGTATGTTTAGCTGCTCATTTAGTCAAGCGCTGATTAAAGATTTAGCCCGACTATGTCATAATGTGACTCACCATTTCTTAAAATAGTTATAATGAAGTGAGTAATTCACTGATATGGCAATGTTAAACAAATATGTTTCTATGTTACTGTAATTGTCTAAAAGAGTGCAGTTAGTTTTTTATGAATACTTTTAATTTCAATATTTAATATTGATAGACAGACAGTTAGTGGCTAAGCATTGACATTGGGGTAAAAATTCAATGCAGAGATCATGTTCTTTTTTAGCTCTTATTATGGAACGAACTAGTAATGTCACACTGCCAAATAGTAGTAATTGTTTTCATAATATAATCAAATATGGATCAGGTCACTAAAAGAAGTTGTTACATACTCTATACATTGGTTAATCTGATAAAACTTATTAGAGTTCCGTACCTCAAAAGGTAAAAAAGGAAACATTATAAGATCACTTTCTTGTCCGTCTGGGTGAGGTAGTATATTGTACTGTACTGTGTGGATTTGATTCACATTAATGTGTATTTTATTACCAATTATGATTAAAAATAGTTTGCTGCTATCCTTCAGGAATAACAACAAATAAATACACTTACATTAATTAGTTTAATATTAGGAGGGATATAAAAGAGAGTAGCTTAAAGTAGATTCTTGTTTCAATAAAAGCCACCAAGATTCAATTCCTCTATTTAACAGAGCGTAGGGCCAGTGCTGTTTATGGCTATACCATTAATGGCTTACTATGTCCAAGAAAAGATATAAAATATTCTTAACCTTTGACATGCCTGTTAGTTTAGTGGTTAGTGACCCTGACTGCTGAGTGTGAGTTTGATTTCCAACAAGGACAAACATTTGTTCTGTGTCTGGATGTAATTGATTTATAATATTTGTGTATTTAGAAATATTTAAGCATTTTATCAGCAGTCTGGTTACCATAGTACAGGCTCTGGCTAGTTTAGGATCAGGAAGCCCTGTGTGAGACATCTAAGGTGAGGTGAGGTGAGGTTAACCCAGACATATGTAGATAGTCTCGTTAAAAAATTTAATGGATTATTAATTTTATATCATGAAATTATTAGCGCACACCATTTTTAAATAATGTAATCTTCAAAAAAGAGATGAGCACTTACTGTATTCAGCCTGTTGCCAAGCTAGTACACCACATAAAAGAGCTAGTGTTTTGCCAGAACCCGTTGGACTTTCCAAGATGCAGTTCTTGGACTCCTTGATGCCTTGGATAATCTACAATATACATTGCTTTCATCAGTAAATTACTGTATAGTATAGTAACTTTGAATCAGATAATGGATTTCTATCCTTCATGACTCGAATAATAGTGGGAATCTGGGCTTGGTGTGTGTTTGTTTTTTATGGAATAGGAGGGCAAACACGCAGATGGGTCACCTGATAGTAAGCAACTACCACTGCCCAAGGATAATTGGAATTTAAAGAGTTATAGATGATCTATTGATTTCCTGATGTTTAGTATTAAGAAACATGTTTGACGGACAATTTAAATCCAGTGGGATGTAGTGAACAGTTTGTTTAACAATGAGAAATTGTACAGAGCTCTATTTTGGGTGAGGGTTTTTTAGATTCTAGATATTAACCAACTTCAAGTAGTAGGATGTTCGCAATTCTTCATTATATTTTTTTTCCATGTTACTATTATGTTATAGATATGTGCAGCATTTGCAAACTTTTTTTTATTTTTTCAGATAAATTCATTGTTAAACTCAAGATTTGATGTGAATAAAATATGCCATCGTAAAAGGTTGATGATATTTTTTGATTGATTATAATTTTTTCTGAAAGAAAAATCCCCCTTTTTTTTCCGTGCGGAAATCCCCTCGGATACCACCTATCGGTGGCATGTCAGACTCGAACCGACTAAAACCACACGCCGTCTTGGGTACTAATAGCCTACCTACCCTACCCTATGTCCATTCTAGTATCCGGTAGTAGTTATGGCTTAACAAACAAAAAAACTCAGATTGACATTTATAATATTAATTGGAATTACCTTATACATCAATGCTATTTGGCTGCCATACGGGCTGACTGGAAATGCAACATTAACTCCTCCAATCCATAAAGTCTTATGTGGAACTACAGGCGGTGGACTTGTGTTCACATCATTCGTGTGGCTACTAGGAGGAAACAATACTTTTACACCTGGTTTCTTCTTTGGTCCTTTATTTTCTTTATTTTCATTTTTCATGGTAAACAGTTTGGCGATAGCATTCTTTTTCTGAATAATCACTACTTCTGGTAGTTCATCCTCGAAAGCTTGGTCACAGGATGTATCAAAACTACGGGAGGTTGAGGGCTCCTCATCACTACTGATTAATATTGATTCATAATCATTTTTCTGCGTTTTAGAACACTGAGGATCAGCGAAGCTTTCATCATCATCAGATATTTCGTACGGAGAATTCATTTAAGAAAATCGTGAGGGTTTAAAGTAAAGAAGAAGACAAACTTGATATATTATTTAGTCAATTGAATACTTTTGGATGAGATAAAACAGTCGACGTTCCCGCGGTTTTCAAATTCCCTATATTTTTAGTTTTATAGTTCTTATGCTCAGCATATTCAGTCAAAATATACTTATATAGTTGCTTAGAAGTTTACCTACAGTTGTTAAAGAATAAACTGTATAAATATTGAAGTCTTTAAGAGAATCAAAACACCATAATAAATAACTATCAGCTGTAAATCAACACTGTCAGTGTGACAGCTTAGTTTACAAGCGTTCCAGATTACGCTAAAACTATGATTTTAAACATAATGGTATGCAAGACCTATGAAATGTATCAAACGATACCATAGGCCTACGAAACAGGAAAAAAATATATACACAATGAAAACACGCTGACAGAAATAATTCAATCACTACAAATTCGAAATAAGAAAAGAAATATATTCTGGGAGATACAATAAAAGACAAGATAAAGATCACACACACATTTTCATATTATTTTCAATGTCACTAACATTCACACAACATCACGACAAGGTACATCATTAAAAATGTATGTGCAAGTCCATTTTTATGGTAAGTTGTATAGAATATCGTCCGAATGGTCATGAGTTGGTAGACACCATCTGAAAAAGGTTTTTGAATGTAAGTGATTTGTTTTTGTTTAAAATCATTATTGTATCATCTGCTAAAGTGGAGGACTTTAGGAGCACAATGAAATACAAATAATAATAATATTTTCGGCCATCAAGTTAGAATCAAGTTATTGATAGAAACGGCATATTATTCTTTTAAAATAATTTGGCCATATCAAGACGTAAATATTTTTTTTGTATACCTACATACTTATCAGCGCACAGAGAAACATTTGGTTAAATAATAAAAAATATTATATAATAGTATTGTTATCTTCTGGGCTCTAGTTATTTTTCATCCTCTTTTTCTTATTCTTTGTTTAAAGGATCAACCGCTTTCTTATTTTGGTGGTTCCGGGATGTTGAATATGTATGACATCATAGAAAATGCCACTGCCCAACCTAACCAACACATTTTATTTAAAAATCTTTAATATATTTTGATATTGCTTCAAACATTTGTTTCCTATTATTTTATTAAGAATAAAGACTGTTGACTATACTCAAGTGACAAGCTAATGAAAGCTTCTTTTTTATATCCTATGAAGTGTGACTATAGGTTGTCTATATTTCATTATAAAACTTTTTTAAATCTGATTTAAAGTAAATTAAAAATTGTAAGTGATTCTTCTCTTTATAAGAGGTCACACAGCATCTTCTTGAAAGCAGCGAGTCTCCCAGTGAACCTGAAGATCAGAAGAAAGTTTATACAAAAGATATAGTAAAAAGAGTCAAGGGTAGCGTGTGAAATGAAAGTGACTACTCTCCAAGACTCAACAATAATTCGTTCCCATCAATAAGGCATGTAAAATTGTTGAAGAGGCGATACAAAGCCTTCTCTTCATGCTAATGCAGATAATTTACGGCGTCACAAGTGAAAATTGCACTCCACACTCCGGACAATAATAATATAGTAATAACAATATTAATAATAATTTATTCTATTGACATAATCAGTGTTACATTAATTTCAGAATTCTCTGCCTCTTGCACTAGTAGATACTGTTTTACAGGTGCCAGTGTCCTCCAGTTCTTACATGAACAGTAATTGGTTTTGTATAATAAATAAAAATAGAAGAAACAAAAGTAAAAATTAATCCAAATGAATACGCGGCGCGCGAGGCCTGTGTGTGCGTGTGTGTGTATATATATGTATTGGAATGTTATATTCTACTATGTTCATCTGAGTGATATTACCCGGGTGAATGAAGTAGATTTTTTAGGTTTCCTCATTTCACCTTAGAAGAATTTCACCTGGGTGAAATAATTCGACAAAAGATGGAGGCCTTTGTTCACGTTTTAATTTATTAACCCAGGTGAATCAAGGGCACTTTTTTATTCATCTTGTGCAATTTTATCACCCCTATAAATTATATGATGATGACAATAATAACTTTCAAATTTACAGACTTAATATTTAAATCAGTTTAATGTTCATTACACAATTTGTGGACATCACGATAGGTCACTTGTTAATTGTGTTTCAACATAAGTACGTAGGTAATAAACAAACTACAATTATTAATAACTACTAGCGAATCGCCCCGACTTTGCACGGCTTTCTGTATATTTGAAAGGTTTTAGTATCATGCTTTATGTGGATGATAAAGTTCACAAGATGAATAAAAAGTCATCTTTGTTCATCAGGGTAATTTAATTTCAAGGTGATCAAATGCGGAGGAGCGCGGAGCGTATGTCGAATTATTTCACCTGGTGAAATTCTTTCAAGGTCAAATAAGCAAACTAAAAAATCTACTTCATTCATCCAGGTGAACATAGTAGAATGTATGTGTGTGTGCCAGGGCATAAGTTGGTTGACTAAGGCTATAAGTTATTTTATCACTTATGTTCTTTTATCTCTTTTCGACTCTTAATAAATTTTCAACAGTGTCGTAGTCCATTGTGTTCTACCAGGTATGTACATACCTCTTTTAAATTTGACATGACTGAGCTTTTTAATTTGTAGTACCTTGTTACATTTATTATATAGTGAACACTTATTGTTGAACAGACGGCCTAGATCGGCAGATACGTCAGGGTATGTCAGGAACTACCAATCTTGGTTACATTCGCGTTTTCTTCAAACAATGTAAAAGTGACTAAACATCATATTTAGTTAGTTCAAGTAGAAAACCTATTTTATTTATATGTTATGTAACTAAAACTATATGTATAAAATCAAAAAAACCCTGTATAAAATCTTTAAAAAAAATGAATTATTGCCAGTTGTTGTAGTTACTGTCTCAGACTCAGAGTTGGGCAAAAAATAATTCTGAATTATTTATAACATACTTTTAAGCAAACCTTTGTTGGTCTGGTCTCAAAAACCATATTGATACACATTACCCTTCTACTTACTCGTTATAGAGATACGTTATAACGTTAATAAAAATGCATAAAGTATTTTATTGTTCACCCGCCATTAACGCTTTCGGTATTAGTCAAAATGTCTGGCTGTATCGAGTGTTGCTGTTGCGCGGCAAACTCGTCCCGACAAAATTTCGGCGCCATTACACGAGTGAGTTGTCAACGGACGTTATGGTGCGTTATAATTTGGTTTATAACCTGACACTACGCTGTTTAAGCAGCGCAATTAGTGAGTGTTGTCATATTTCCCTCGTATAGTTTAAGTAGTATGCATATGTAGGTATAGTAATATTGCAAGCAAAGAGTACGTTATGATTCTGTATTTATTGTGTAAAAATATGCTTTTCAGCTCAGAGTAAAATCGTATGAATAAGCATGACGTAGAGAAATATAGGTAGGTACATATCTATAGTATTCTATATATATGTATCTACCTATATTTATCTTTAAACATTAAACAGGTATTCCTGGTTGGAGCAATCTGTTTGTTTTGTTTCATAACTCCTTATAAGTTGTCCTAATAATGTTTGAAATCAAGTTTATCTTCACAAACCCCTAGTCCAATCTTTTTGCACAAAGCTTTTTGGTAGCTGGCAATTGTCGATTTATCTAATAGTTACTAATACAGAAGATATATCATCACCAAAACTAAGTATGGATACAATCTACTACCTATACTTCACTATTTGTTACTGACTTATGAAATAGAATTTTCCGAAACATCAGAGTATCTTCCTTCTTTTTTCAGTTGTACAAAGTCAGATGAAAAGATCAGATGTAAATCAGAAAAGCAATAAAATAATAAACGCATAAACAATGTTAAACTGAATGGTTGTGTTAGGGATGGCACCCTGTCACCCCATTTTTCGGGCCATTCAACAGTTTACGTCCGCGTTTTAATACGATTCCTACAAATTGGTAGATGTCATAAATTACAGTGTGAAGACGCAGAAGTTGCTCCCCTCGCCTCGAACTTCTGGCACGTTCAGATTGTGATACCGAGTGCTGTTTAGCTTTTTTAATTTTCTTGGGCAATTTTATTGTTAGAGAATAGTAAGCAAATTACACACCTATGTCAGTATCAGGGCTTTATTTTGGAGACGCATTTCAAATTAACTAATGACTTATATTTTGTGTAAAATAGATGAGGGTAGATTGATTCGAATGGTAAGATTTCAGAAATAGACTGCATAGTGGTCACAAAGTTAAAGATTTCGATAGAGTATTAGTGACAGAATATGGATGAAGGCTAGATTATTAGTTATATTTCCTAGGTGGGTTGTCGTTAGGTAAGTGGACGGCAATAAAATAAACTATCCAAAACTATTTGCATTGCTACTGATTGTGCCGGGCCCAAATTTCATGCGGGAAGATGACGATGATTATGTCAATATAACATGACCAAATATAAAATAAAAATAAACTAAGTCAACAATTGGGAACGTGTAGAATTCTCGCAACCAAAAACTGGTGCGTCCTCCCCAATTATAGACATGCTTTACTGCCGCACTATCTGAGGCGCGCTTTTATCAGCGTATGTCACATCCATCGATACCACTGCCGACTTTAACCTTACAAACAACCAACTAAAACTGTACCTTCTCCCCTTGTAATACGAACTTTAGAAAAAACTATTGTCGTACTTTGTTATTTCTAGTTAATTTGATGGCAAAACTTTTGGTATCGAGCTCATTTATACTTCTAAACATTATCAGTGAGGGTTCACGCGGATTCAACGGCCAATGGGCCCTCAAGATTGATATCTTAAAGTAAACATATCACTGTCTCCATTTGTTTACGTTTTATGGAATTTGGAAGACGATATATCGACTTTGTTAATTTGATCGTTAATCTAGTGTGTTGGGAAAGCGCTATTAAACTGATAGGAATTACTTGTTAGTTGTTATGGTTTGCAGGAATTGCTTTTGTCATGTTTGTTGAATTATAATGACGAGT